GCGACTTGGAAGGGTTTGGTGTTCCAGTGCTCAGTTATACGCGGTTGTATCAAGAAAATCAGCTTTTTCAAGATATAACACTTACTTACTTACTTACTTACTTACTTACTTACTTACTTACTTACTTACTTACTTACTTACTTACTTACTTACTTACTTACTTACTTACTTACTTACTTACTTACTTACTTACTTACTTACTTACTTACTTACTTACTTACTTACTTACTTACTTACTTACTTACTTACTTACTTACTTACTTACTTACTTACTTACTTACTTACTTACTTACTTACTTACTTACTTACTTACTTACTTACTTACTTACTTACTTACTTACTTACTTACTTACTTACTTACTTACTTACTTACTTACTTACTTACTTACTTACTTACTTACTTACTTACTTACTTACTTACTTACTTACTTACTTACTTACTTACTTACTTACTTACTTACTTACTTACTTACTTACTTACTTACTTACTTACTTACTTACTTACTTACTTACTTACTTACTTACTTACTTACTTACTTACTTACTTACTTACTTACTTACTTACTTACTTACTTACTTACTTACTTACTTACTTACTTACTTACTTACTTACTTACTTACTTACTTACTTACTTACTTACTTACTTACTTACTTACTTACTTACTTACTTACTTACTTACTTACTTACTTACTTACTTACTTACTTACTTACTTACTTACTTACTTACTTACTTACTTACTTACTTACTTACTTACTTACTTACTTACTTACTTACTTACTTACTTACTTACTTACTTACTTACTTACTTACTTACTTACTTACTTACTTACTTACTTACTTACTTACTTACTTACTTACTTACTTACTTACTTACTTACTTACTTACTTACTTACTTACTTACTTACTTACTTACTTACTTACTTACTTACTTACTTACTTACTTACTTGCTTACTTACTTACTTACTTACTTACTTACTTACTTGCTTACTTACACCCTTTACCCCTGTTCGAGCAACACTGACAGCACACCAGCATTCTCAATCATAGTCTTCCCTGAACAATCCTCTCCGGTTGTTCCCAGTTGCTATTCATCCTTTTGATATTCGCTTCTAATTCCCAATCCAGTGTTCTCTTTGATCTTCCTTTTTTTCCTTCACTTCCATTTAAAGTTTAGAGAACAAAATATTACTATCAAATACATCTAATTAAACTGTAAATTTTCTTTATCATTTCAATCCAAATGATTTTATCCTTATATATCATGAACCAATTGAGTGTTAAAAAGGTGAATTATTCCATATTAATTCAGTAAAATGAAGTTTACTTTGTGATTGTGGTGCTTGAAATGTCCAAATTTAAATTGTCAGGTGAATTTTTGTGGGTTTACACTACATAAACTACCTTTTGTTTAAATGATACTCCTGTGTATATCGATTTTTGATGAGAGTTGTCGTCATGTTAGCTAACGAGCAATTTGATTAATAATAATAATAACTATTCAGTTTCAACTGATTTTCCATGGTGATCATTATTTTTATCTTTATACTACCTTTAGATGGTGGTTGGAGGTAGTCGATAGGAAACCCTGGACCCGGGTTTCGTGCTACTTGGCACTCGTCAGCAAGGTGTACCTGTAATCTTGAGGGAACTGGTTTCCTGTCGACTACCTCCAACCACCATCTAATCTCACAATAGTGCACACAGTGTTGAGTCACCTAGGCTGGTGGCCACATTGCAACATGGTCGATAGCATTCGATCTGCACTAATAAGGTCTAGACACGCAATCAGTTTTGATTATACTACCTTTAAATTTATGAACACTTCGCTATTTTTATAAACAAAATATTAGCCTTAGTTATTGCAGCGAGAATACGAACCGATCTAAAGTGAACAACTATTGGTTATCTGGAAGCACTAAATGACTGTTTGGTCTTGATATAGAGCTCCTCGGTAGCAGTAGTCACTCATGGCCTTATAATTGGGGACCAAACCAATGGCATTCAGTCTCATCTACAAACATATCACCCCTAGACGACTGAAATAGTATTCAATAGCGATCATATCTGACTTGGTCTAAATTTTATACTATCACAATAGTTTGAACATACTTATACATTTGTTTGCTACTTATCAACACTATCATTTTGTTCGAATAGATATTAATAATGAAATGAATAAGTCCACCTTCTGTAGTATCATTAAAAACCTATCATATCCGCCTGGTTTCTTATTCCGTCATACAGAAGTTATCCAAACAACAATTATGAATTTAGAAGTATTATGCAATAATAAAATGAGGTTAATTCCCCATAGATACAAAACTTAATCTAAGAAATATAGTGATCTCTAACCAGTTGCATGAAGGTAGAATTATAGTACTTACTTTGAACCATAAAACAGATAATGGATGTATTCCAATAGGAATATTGTTAAAGTCAACAATATATCATGTTTTAAAACTAGTCAGTTCACATGGAATGAATATGATTTTAAGAAGTCATCTACACCTGGAAAGATCTCATAAAGAACAATGTGAGAAATAATATTCCAGCTTGAAGAATTTTGTAAAACGTTGTGATTAAATTGAAAGCAAATACAGTAATTAGTCTGTTGAAACGACAAAACCATATATTACATTATGAAGATGATAAAAAGTAGTGGAACATCTTAAACTACTAAGTATTTATAAGTAGTCTAGTTAAAATGAAAGAATTAAAAAGCGAAGAATGATTTTCGGAAGTGGAGAATAAATGACATTGTTATTGAAATCCAGTATGCATTGAACAACTGATTCTTCTTGGCATAGTACTTAGCAGAAGCGGACTGAATTTAAATATGCAAACTACTGAACGGGAACTAAATTATGTAAAGTTTGGATGCTCATTACAAAAATTCAAAGGTTTTGAGTTTGGTCTGTGGTGGGATTGTGATGACATACTGTGAAGTGGTCCCATGCGAGAATGTAACATCAGTCCAGTGTTTCCTGATTTTCATTGACTATCTAATAAGAAATAGTTCTTGATGTAAACTATGAAATCTAAACATCATCACAAACCTTTTACAGTAATAACAGTCCATTTTGTAAACAAAGTTATCATAAAAATCATGATGAAAGTCTAAAAACAGTCACATCACTGTGTTTTATCTTTGGCGAAGTAAAATTTAATGAAGCACTTTGATCATTCTAGTTCGTATGATCTTAAATGTAGTAAAACAATTCAGGAGGTTCATTAATAACATTGTAAATCAGTTGTCTGTACAAATTTGAATAAACTGAGTTACGGGAGTTATGTGTTGGTCTGTTATGGAGATGATTAAGTGTATTACCAAGATATTGTTTCTAAAAAACTATTTGTTATCAGTAGTTCGAATTACGAAAACCGTGGTAGCAAAATAACACCGGGTATAATAAAATAGCATTTTAAAATTGGAGGATACAAGCATGTGTTGTGACTTTAAGTCCAGCTAGTCACCAAGTAATTCATTCGCCAATCCAAATACGACATATTCACTCTTGTACTATGCTAAAACAATGACGTTTGACCGGTCTGATCAACCTAGCGTCCTTACTGATCCTTTGTTCGCCTAGCCCGTTCAACTGAGTCCAGAACACCAATAACAGCGTCCACTATACGAATCATTTATTTCAAGCATACTTGGTTTATATACCAGCTAAACAGAGCACATCACACCATAAAATAGAAAATAACATTTATACAAGATCAGGCCAGAAAGTGGCTGTGAACGTGGGAGGCTGTAATCAATAAACTGGATACAACTTAAGAGTAGTACATCGTATAATAATAATAATAATAATAATAATAATAATAATAATAATAATAATAATAATAATCTATAGGTCAAAGTGAATCTTATAATACGAAGAATATAGATATACACAGTCTAGTAACTGAACAGTTATACAATAAAAATATTGGTCCATTAATAGATCTCAGAGGTTACCCGTAATTTATTCTTCACTACGAAATAACAGCATGCATTTCTTCTTAGCCTAAGGTTAATGTGTAATGTATGCCTTTGTCTTAACATACATTTGAATAGATCAATGATTAGTTTGAAGCTGTATAACTGATAATTATTAACAACTCAATATTGGAAATATACATAACAATGTTTAATATCAGAAGCGGTTTTGTGGAGTAATTTCAATAGTTGAAATGATGAGTCAACTAAAGCTAGCCCACCATAGAAAACCTGGAAACACTGGACGACCGTTTCTTCCTATTGTGCGACTCCTCAGCAGTGTGCATTCAAGACTAGTTTCAACTGACTCATGATCTCAACTACTAAGGTTACTAAAATCTCCACAAAACCCTTTCTAATACTAATCAACATATGCTCACTAGTGACTGGCTTCAATATATATATCCTGAAGTTCCAATGAAAAGCAGAGGCCATTGAAGTTCAACCAGGTCTGTTGTTAAATAGTAACTTACTGATGACATTGGTGGATGTGTTACTCAATGTCGCATTGCGGAAAAGTCCCACAGTACGACGAAATGGCTGTCCAATGCTTCTAGGTTTTCCATGATAGTCTAGCTTAAATTAACTCATGATCTCAACTATTGAAAATATCAATTTCATCATTTCAATTCATTTATTATCACTAAAACAATGCGAAAATCTAATTGGTTAATCTTAGGATACGGCCGATCAGAAATTATCCAATCATAATTATGAAAAATTGATACAACATTTCTAACCAATCAAATTTATGGAATTTCATAAGTTTCCAAATTCATATTATTCATTTTCTGATTGGTTTATTTTGTCCGAAAGTTTTTCGTTTTTGTTTATTTTTTGTTTATTTTTATTACTTTATACAAAACCCGCATTTAATCACTAATTCTCAATAGTGTATTACACCTTTATTTTTAATATCTGATTAAAATCATTAGAATTTTTCGGTTGTTTTTTCTTCTTCTTCTTCGTCTTCTTCTTCTTCTTCTTCCTAAATACTTGAAGTAATAGAAATGCTGGACTCTAAGAAATTTTCATCAGAAAAACAATTAAACATGTCTGAAACTTGGTATTGGGCAAATTGCGATATTCATTTGAATAATAATCATAATGGTAATAATGTCAGTAGTACATTAACTCCACAATGGAATTCCAATCTACCCGCATATATAGATCAGACAACATTGAATAATTCATCTATTAATATCATTAATCCAACTACTCTGTCAACTATAAACAATAATGTATTGAATACTACTACTACCACTACTACTAATACAAATACAAATCTGTACAAACCCGCATATTCAACTAAATTGTATCATACATATCAGGGTGATCTTGAACAGAATAAATGTTTAAATGATTTCCCCAATACAAATCAAATACATTTACCATCAATTGAATCTGTTAGAAGATTAACACATTATGATAATAATCTAAATCATATTTACAATAACGAATTATACTCAACATGTTTCTATGATAATAATAATAATCATAATCAACATGATCATTTACATAAATCTGAATATAATTTACCACAAATTACTTATCATAATAATGAACAATATGAAATAGATTTACAAAAATTGCCTAAAACTAATTATGATAATTATTTTATCAATCATGAAAGAAATAATACTAATCATATTGATCGAATTATTGATTATTTTCCAATAATCAATACTGATACAAATTATTTAGTAAGTTCAACACCAAATTCATTGATTCATTTAATCAAATTGATCAATATACCTTGGTAACATGTAATGAAGTGAAAGGGAATGATAACAGTTCCACTATAGTCCATAACAACAACAATAACAATAATAATAATAATGATAATGATAATATAATTAATGAATCCAAAGAAAATTCCAGTCTAACTATTCAACAGCATTTATGGGATATAAAAGATTTGAAATTACCAAAAGTGAGTATCATTATTTATTATTCTGTGAATTTCATGTCATAAAAATGGTGACTTAGTTACTATGGTGTTTCTAACTCGTTATTTTAAACAACAAAAAAAAAATTGACACTGATTTCACTCCATTCGATTTTCATGGTTGTTTTTTCTTCTCCCAAATTTCAAACATTAAAATTACGGTTGTATTGATTATCAATCCAATTCAATAAATCAGTAAACTGATCATCTTATGGGTGAGTTAAATGCCTCACTTCCCTGTTACTTAGGGTTAAAAACTGTACTTAGATGTGTGGATAGCGGTTAGCGATGAAATCCAGGTCGTGTGTTTTATCCTCTGTTTTTTTAGATTATAGGAAAGAATTTAAACTGAATGATTAAATGATAGGAAATGAGAAGTAGATAATTTGTTGGACACATTTTGATAGTTCCAAAAGTGAGACAGTTAACTGTCAGTGACAATGTAAGTTGGTTGTCTAATATTGTCTGTTGATTTACATTAGGCATGTGAAATAGTAGATACTGTCTCAGTAGTCTAAACACTGAGTGATCATTGTTAGACCTTTAGGTCTTCATACTAATGTTGAGATGTTAAATATTGAGTTTAAACTGAATGATACAACATTCACAAGATAAACAAAGATAGATGAAATCTAGGATATACAGTTCGTCCTATTTGGAACTCGTTACAAGATGATATTGAGTTAATACAACTAAATAATGTTCATCATATTCGTGATTTATATTATCTTAAGATGATCATTTAAACAGTCAGTTGATGAACGACATATCTCTGTTGAGATATCAATTACTCAGATTTTAACGTTTAAAGTAAATAGTGTACTACACTTGACATTCATAAGAATTAACTTTACTGGTGAATGTCAAAAAGTACAGATTCCAAATTCATAGTAACTGGACAATTGAATTACACAAAAGTAACATTAAACAACTCAATTATAACCCACAAACCATGACTTGAATTTTGATGGGTATCAGATAACTCTCTGATTAGTGCTTTACATTTAAAATATCCTGATCAGTTAACATAAATATTATATCTGGAGAGATCCAGAATATTCCTCGAAAAAAAACCCAAAGGGGCCTTAAAGACTCTTGGAAGCATCTTATCCAATCAGCACTCAGTCAGTAGAAGTACCTTAGAGACATCTAGAAAATGAAAACTCACGCCTAACAATTCTGGTTTTATGAATATTTCTCCGGCTACTATGTTTATAAGGGCTCTAGAACTTTCCAGAAACATAAGGCCATCTGAAATGATATAAATACCTAGATTTTCTGTATGTAACCCAACCTTGGAGTAAGGCGCTTTTCTCATATTTCTCGCTTTTTCTCTTGTGTTCAAGTTGCTGTGTAGATTTAGCCTGAGTGTTACTAAAAGATCTTAGGAAACTGAGTCAAGCGTTCGATTAGATTTATCAAATTCCATCAGTTAAAATTTACCAATTTTACTATCCTAAACAAGAACTAAACAAGTGTGTTCTTGAATTTTCGAGTTTCGTTTAATTAAAACTTATTTCAGCGGTTGAGATTATGAGTCAGTTAAAGCTAGATTACCATGGAAAACCTGGAATCAATGGACGGCCGTTTCGTCTTATTGTGGTACTCCTCAGCCGTCCAGTACTTACAGGTTTTCCATGGTGGTCTAGCTTCAATTGACTCATGATCTCAACCAATGAAATTACTATAATATCCACAAAAACCCCTTTCTGATATAAAAATTATTTCCCAAAGGTGATTAGATGAGCATTCTATTAGTAAAACACAGTTTTGAAAACTTGAACTATATTTCCTTATTAGATATTTATGTTGTAGAATTTATTATTTAGAAGTTAACTGATTGAAGATGATTCATAGATAACTCTGAATTAGGTTCAACCTTAGCTGATACTTATCAACCGAGTGTACCTGTAATCTTGACGGAACCGATTGCTTCTATCGCCCTCCATAAGATTTGTATATGAGTCATCCACTTTCAAAGACTTTAATATCATTTAGTTTAATATTATTCAAGATAATCATCTTTCATAATAAATAGACAGAATTGAGGAATGAAAATGTGTACATTGCATGGATTCTTTTGGTGATTATTTGGATATAAATGTATTTAGTAGCTTAGAGATTGATTGTTAAAATCCTTCTTAAAGATTACTAGCTTACATAAATACACGTTTCCTTTGTTTGAAACTCATCAGTTTAATGTATATCTCAGTCCTAAATGAATGTTTCTAATTTAAACTCTAGTTTAATACCAATAAATGTAAGGGATCTATGGAAATGATTGATTCTCATAGTCCACATTACGGACTTACTTTAGTTAGACAACTATTCAAAAACACCAAGCACTGGATAGCTGTTTCGAACCACTATGGAGCTGCTTAACAGTGTGCATCACAGGTTGAACAAAAGATCTCTGGGTCTCGCAGCGCAAACCATATCAGGATTGAGATATTTATCCACTAATGTTATTAAATATTAATTGTGCAACATCTTAAATTGATTGAACTTAAACATAAATTATTTAATGTCAATCCGATTTTCTGGCATTTAAGGGCTCCCCAAGAGAAGTCAAGGTCTTATTTTCTGTACCTGGCAGTGTCACAATTGCATACTATTGAAGAGTCTTATACTAGGATGAAACAGTTATTCAGAGCTTCCAGGTTTTCAATGGCTATCTGACGGTGATCCATTCGTGTTGTTATTCAATAAACAGAGTGAAGATGAAATATTTTACTTACGTCACGAATTAATATTAACTGGAATGAAAGAGATTGAAAATTAGAAAGCATTGAACATTTTCTTGACTAGATTGAACACAATTCATCAACGTGTAAACACGACCTCACTTACAAATGATTCTGCGGACAACTGTGCCTGAAATCCAACGGTCGTCATTTCAGCTTATATCTATTTGTGAAATACAGTAATTCTCTATATTACACTATTTATGGGCCTATCAGTACAGTTTCCTAAGGATCGATCTAAGGAAATAATCATCAGCGGGAATATCACAAATAACTATTTATTGATTTAATGTGAATTTTGTCCCTGTTGAGAGATCTTATTCTCAGTGGAAAGAACAAACTAGTGAATTGTTTTAGGTTCTCATTAATCTAAATGATTCTAGATCACATGCACTATGTGTTAATTTTAAGTGATTAAAAATAGTCTCCAGGTACATCCAACTGACGAGTCCCAAATAGGATAAAAAAGCGCGCGTCATGGTATCCACTGCTAGCCGCTATCCATCTTTGCTTAAAAGGCTTGTGACTTAAGGTTATATTGAGGCAATACGCACACGATGTAGATATGCCAACATGAGATTGACTAATTTCAGTTCTAAATAACAATGGGGAGATTTAACTAAAACAACACCAAGTGAAATTCGTCTTCAGAAAACTTTAAACATAAGTTCCTTCCTACAAGAGGTTAGTCACTGCCTGAATGATTCAATGTTAAATTCCTAGACTATGAGATTGACTAGTTCTGGTTTAAATACACAAGGTTGAATTAGTTCATTTATGATTTAAGGTTCATTTTTCTGACAAACATCAATTAGTAGGAAATTTTGATCCAGTATTTCTTGTACAACACGTCTTATCAATAAATGAGCTTAAACATATAAAACACATCTAATTCTATACTCACTATGGATTTGTGGAGATGAGCTGGATTTGATTGATATCACGAACCTATAAGTTAAAAAAACCATTAGTAAGATTGTACACTAGATTGATGTTTCGTCCTAGTATGATATTCTTCACCAGTACACTTCCACAAACCCGAATCGATAAGTCGAATGTCAAATATCTTCACTCACACAAAATTGAGAATTTTTACTGTCAAGAAGTTCCATACTAAGACGAAACTGGTCATCTAGTGTTTCTTGTTTAGATTTTTCATGGCTGCCTAAGTCAAATCAATACATGATTATTGTTACGTCCTTGATCTGCCTACCCACTTTTGGTGCTTAGGATAACTTGTCTAATCTAGATTAAGATCTTGACACAATAGGCTGACTGGCTTAACCTTGAATCTAGTACGCGTGAGTTCGAAGTGGGTTAGAGAGACGAAAACTATTCTATCACCTGATTGGCTAACAAGCACGCGAATGAGAGAAGGCTATTCAAGTGAAACACTACTCGGTTTATTCCTAATTACGATCTGCTTTCCGATTTCCCGATTTCAGATCAGTGTAAAAAAGATACATGAATAAATAGATGACTAACCCGACAATAACGCACAATAATTAGGAAAATATAGTTATCACTGATTGAAATCATTAGTCAATTGAAGTTAGACCACCATGGAAAACCTGTAACGACTCGACGACCGTTTCGTCCTGGTATGGGACTCCTCAGCAGTACGCATCTACGATCCCGCCTCTCGACATTTGAAACCAGGATCTATCAGTCTCACGCGTAAGCGCTTAACCACTAGATCACTGAGTCAGCCAGAATTCAACGGTATTAATGTCTAACTTCAACCAATCCACGAAGTTGCACCACTGTCCACCATTGTCATCAGTGAGTTACTATCTCACAACAGACCTGGTTAGACTCCACTGGTAACGGCTACTCACTAGAACCCCAGGAGTATTTCTTGAAGTCAGTCACTAGTGAGCAGATGATTACTATCCATCTGACAAAATATAATTATGTCTAAAAGTAGGGATTAGCGTAGAAAATAGAGTACGAAATAATACTTTTAAATTACAATAGCTTTAGAACAAAAAGGACTATGGCAGTGAATCATACATCAAACGAAAGCTCATGTTCTGTAGAATAGACTAGAAACAAAAATAAATGTCAGTGTTATACAAGTTTTGAATGAAATGAAATAACGTCCCTCAAAAATAGCTTCTAAAGTTTGTTAAGACTTCTTGTTTCTCTATTCATATCAATTATCATCCTATACTCACTATGTGGTTAGATTACAATGTATGTTCTCTAAAATCTTATCCGTTATAGGTTTGTGAACCTGCCCACTTATGATGAGTTACGATACAATTGTTCTATATTCTTTTTTTAAAAGAAGAAATTTAAGAACGAAACAAGCCAACAATTCATTTTTATAGATTGAAATCATGAGTCAGTTGAAGCTGGACCACCATGGAAAACCTGGGAGCACTGGACGGCCGTTTCGTCCCAGTATGGTTGAAGTTAGACATTAACACCGTTGGATGCTGGCTCAGTGGTCTAGTTGGTTAAGCACCTAGCGTGAGACTGATAGGTCATGGGTTCGAATCTCGCGGGATGCGGGGTCGTGGATGCGCACTACTGAGGAGTTCCATACTAGGACGAAACGGCCGCCCAGTGCTTTCAGGTTTTCCATGACGGTCTAGCTTCAATGGACTCATGATTTCAATCAGTGAAATTTCTAAAATCTCCACAAACCCCTTCTGATAGTCCATTTTTATATCTTTTATTTTTCTAGGTTAATTATTATGATTCATATGAATTATGGCCAACTGGACATTGTAGACGTGTTTATGCTCAAACATGTGAACGTGCACGTCGACATCAAAGTGGTTGGGCTATGCGTAATACAAATAATCATAATCCTCAAGTATTAAAAAAATCATGTCTTGGTGTATTAGAATGTTCAATGAATTGTATGGTACAAGGTAAACCATTAAGTCTACGTCCAGCTATATGTGATAAAGCAAGAAAGAAACAATGTAGTAAGTTACTTATATCAATGACAACAGAAAAAACAATTTTTATTTCTCATTTTGTTACTAAGGTCATGATTAATGTTTTTCATGAGGTTAATATTCTTAGATTAATTGAATTTTATCTTTCGTTAAAGGGTTTCTATTGCACATTGATCGATTCATAATCTCAATCACATGAATCTGTCATGAATACAACGTAAAAAATGAAAAGCTGAAAGCAATAAACGGTCATTTCGTCTTAGTATGAGACTCCCTTGGTTACACAATGATGGTAGAGCATTGATCGACTCATGATCTCGATCAAAAACTTAACAATCTCCTCAACTTCATACTGATAGATTCATAAGATTTGGAATACCTTTGGAACTATATGTCATTGGACAGTTGTTTTGTTCTGACTATTGTTATAACACTGGACACTGACAAAGTAATACTACTTGTGGAACATTTCCTCAAGACCTAAATGTTTCGAGTTCAATCTTTACCGAAGATAAAGATGTACAATTATGTGATGTTCTATAATAGGATGAAATAGTAGTTCAATGTTTTATGATTTGCAGTGGTACAACAATTAAGATCAATCGGTGGTTCTTATCTGTTAAAATTTGATTAGTATGAAGAGTATAAAAAAGTATATTTCCCATTATGAACTGACATTATCATGGTGTAGAACCCTTTGGAACTAACGAAAATTGCTTTAATGCTATACAGAACCTTTATACAGAAGAAAAATTGGTAATGAATGGCTATGTGTTGACTGATAATTATTACTTTCGAGATCAATTTGAAGAGAGAGAATGAGAGTCCAATTGAAAACTGTCTCATGAAAGATGAATTATGTTATGATTAAAACAGTAACTTATCAATGACATAGTATGAAAGTCATACTATATAACACGTTGATTGGAAACATAGTTTAGATCAAGGATTGACATTAGCTAGACAACCATTGAAAACCATGCAGAACTGGACGAATATTTCGTCCACGAATATAACTCTTCAACAATGCATACAAAAGACTCCAGTAGAGATTTAACCTAAGACTTTAAGGTTTATTGGTGGATTTCCAACCACTAAAATATCTGAGTCAGCATCTACTGATACAATCAACTTATGATATGGTATAATGATCATCTAATGTCATTGAGGATAATTGATTCATTTTAGATACATCTGAATGAGCAAATTGACTGAACACTTCTCCAACTACATATACAGTTATTCTCAAGTAGTATTAAATGTCGTATACTTCTACTATTGAATGGATCTACTTTGAACATTTTACACTTGCTGGATGACTGGACAATTCATCATTTGTTTATAGATAATAAAATTGAAGAAACATATCTTCTTTAGTCTGATAACTCATTTGAATGTGTACATATATCTTAGGGATTGTCTGTTCTCAATTCCTCAGTGGACAATATGTCAAATATCTGAAGCAAAAGGAATTGGGTTCAAGGCTCAACACTAGACTTTGGATACATCTTAGTATGAAATACAACCCATGAATTCCACTCCTAGTTTCTATCCAAATGTACTAAAACCTTTGATGAAATATCAATACTGAGATAATCCATTTAAGAAGTACATATGACAAAACAGACTGATCACTTGCAATCAATAACTTTAATAACTGGGAAATACAAAACTTAACAAATAAAATCTGTCAAAATCTTTGTTAAAATTTAAGTAGACTGGATTACAATTAAGCTATTATTTACTCTTTCTGTATACTTGTTGGAATACAAATAGACTAAATATTATTAATAGTTGAATTTATGAGTCGATCTAAACTAGACCACCACTGAAAACTTTCAAGCATTGAACGGCCCTTTCATTGTAATCAGAGACTCCTCAGTACTGAGCATACATGATAACACAACAAAGAAACTTCAAAACAGAACCGTCAGTCTTGTGAGACATCGCTTAACCTATAAACCACTGAATCATCATCCAATGGTGTTAATGTCTAATTTCATTCGATCTATGACATTGTGCAATCACTCATCTATTGTTTGTGGTAGATAACTATCTCCATCTTACACGGGTTGGACTCTACTAGTTGCGACTTCTCACTAGAACCACAGTAAATCCATGCTGAGCTAATCACTAGTAGACAAATGATTATTATCAGAATGGGGATTTGTGGAGAAGTTTCATACTAGAATAAAATGGCCGTCCACTACTTCCAAATTTTCAATGATGATCTAGCTTAGATTGACTCGTATATTCAACTATTAAAATTATTACAATCTCCACAAATCCCTATTCAATTTAGTTACTGTTTATCTAAATATTTTACAAATTTTTATTAAATTCTTTAATTAAACATAATAATGTAGAACTGACAGTCTTCCGCGAGCGAGACAAATAAGTCCTGGGTTCGAATCTCGCGGGGCGAGATCGTGGATGTGCACTATTGAGGAGTCCCATTATTTATTTATTTGTTTTAACACATAGATATTAGTACAAGGAGGCACCAAATACATATGCGCCACACAAATCTTATTTGATATGTGTGAGGGCTGTGATACTGACCGGGTGTCCAAAAAGAAGCAGGTGGTTTTCTTAAGGAGCCACTCCCCGAGCCTTCGACCTGAATGTCTGATCCACAAGGCAGTGGAGCATCGTAAGGAGATGCAGTCCCATCGTAACCGGTGACAAACAATCGGTTCATACACCATTTGTTCCCACAGGACACTGGAGCCCATGGTTTGGGATCCGGTTAAAGTGCCGGACATTCACTTTTCGTCCTCTCATTTTCGTAAACAACAACCCTACTACGAGAAGGCAGTGAGTAGGACTTGGAGTCCCATAATAATACGAAACGGCCGTCCAATGCTTTCGAACTTTCCATGGTGGTCTAGCTTCCATTAACTGATGATCTCAGCTATTAAAATTGCTATAATACCAACCCAACCACTTGTGACACAATTATTTACGTTAATATGAATCATGGATATTTACTGTATATTATTGTGCATATAGTTATGTATTTAGGTATACAACATTACAAATATATCCCTTATCAGTAGTAGTTACTTTTTTTGAAAGAAAAAATTGGTCATTTTAAGAAAACTTCACGCAAAACCCATAAATATTGTCCATAATTGATTACGTACATAATAGTGCATACACTCGTGTCACGTATACACCTATTATCTAATATGCTAATAAGGCTGACAGATATTACATTACCCCCTTCCTCCCCCCCGCTCCGACCCCGACAAATACATGGAAAACATATAACTAGACAAACATAAGTAGTAGACAAGGGATTCAATCCAGACATGCGTATCAACATACATACACATATACATATATATATATATATATATATATATATATATATATATATACACTTATATATATCACATTATGATCACCGTCTTTCCGTCTTTTTTTATCCACATTATAAAAAAGAAAAAGCAAGAAAAAATTAGGTGGGGAATTATTGAATGAAAGAAAAAAAAGCACGTTCTCATAATAATTATAATTAACTATCGTTAAGAGGAGGGAGGGGACAGGTAGGTAGGGGAATAAGGCATTCAAGAGAAATTAAGAGAAATAATAAAATAAGGTGAGATAACAAATTTGAGTTCATTTCGATCATATTGATTAAATTGTTAATTAAGGGTCATTATATTTTCTTTATTTCTTAATCAATAATTCAATTATTTGTTTGTTTTTTTGTCCAGAAATAATTACCTAAGTTCGAATTTGAATTATGAACCAGAATAGAACCCAGAACTTTAGGTTTTGAGTGTAAACACAGTACTCACTGAAGAAAATCGGAGGTGGTTTTATGATGTAATGGAATGATTGAAGTTAAATTTGTACATAATTGATCTAGAAGTTAAACGTTTGCTCATGAGACTAAAGGACATGAGTTCGATTCCCGGATAAGAAGTCGTCAGTATGAACTCCTTCTAAAGATTGTCATACTAGGGTAGAAACAACTGTCTAAGAAATATTATTCATACAACTGAACAACAGGTATTAAAAAAACAGTTAACTTTTCTCTTTTTATTCTCACAGATCGTGAATGTATTACACCTGGTTGTAAAGGTCGTTTAATTCTACGTAATTGTCGTGGTCATAGTGGTTATCCTGTGACACATTTTTGGCGTTTTGCTAATGGTGCCGTTTATTTTGAAGCAAAAGGTGAACATGATCATAATCGTCCATCATTGAAAACATTCGGTTTAACTGAATCTGATACAGTTACCACTAATACTACCACAAACACAATAAATTCTCATGTTACAACAACAAGTACTCCTACTATTGTGGATAAACTAGTTACAGGAATAACAACACTAATATCACCGGATATTGATAGAAATTTGAATCATATTACTAATAATAACAACAATATTCAATATATTCATAGTCAAAATCTTCATCTCCATGATCAGGTGCCACAACAACAACAACCACAACCACAACAGGGATGTCACGACTATCGATTCCTTCCACAATATGAACAATCAATAATCGATCAACAGAATTTCACATTATCAAATGAATTTTGTAATTATTATAATTATCAATCATCAAATCATTCACAATTAGATAATTCTCATTTATTATCATTAAATAAAACAAAACATGTAGGTAAACGTGTTACAAATAGAAAAGTAATACGTCGTGAAAAAAAGTTAACAAATACACATTTAAAAGTAAGTCAATATTGTGAATTATAACTAAGTGGGATTGTGAAGATTGTTTACTTGCTCACCCACTCACTCACTCACTCACTCACTCACTCACTCACTCACTCACTCACTCACTCACTCACTCACTCACTCACTCACTCACTCACTCACTCACTCACTCACTCACTCACTCACTCTCTCCAACTATCGGTTATAATAGTCGCATGGACCCCAACCAAGTAGTCTACATCTATCAACATGGCTCAGACTAGAAGTTAGTGACTTCAAGGACTGATGCCACACTTTGGTTTGGCCACCTCTAACTTTCTTTCAACCATTTCTAACACTAGTCAGCATTGCGTGTCGTGGTAATCGGTGTCTTGGCATACATGATACGTAGCCCAACCATCTCAGTTGATGAAGATTCACATTCTCATCAACTGATTTACCATCATTCCTTAGTAACCTACATCTAAATTCACTATTACTTACCCGGTGATCCCAGTAGATACTGACAATATAGTGAACTGTTACAAAAACACTGGAATAATGGAAATACGAAATGCTTGTAAATCTGTAATTAGTCGGTTTTTATTTACTGTTTAAACTACCACATAATATATGGTGAAATCAGAAATACAAATCAAACATCTCAGAATCTTTGAATATAGATCAATCGACTACTTGAGTAAATTGAATGGACTGATTTGGTATAATAATGATATGGTATGGTATAATTTTGAATTCTTCACTTCTCACTTACTTACTTACGTACGTACACCTGTTACCTCTCGCGGAGGATTATATAGCATTCAATACCATTCTGAATCAAACTTTGGCCTCAGCAATCCATTCCAGTTGTTTCCAGTTACTATTCATTATTTTCATGTCTTCTTCTCATTCTCGGCAAAATGTGCTCTTTGGTTTTCTTCATTATTGTTTCTATTCCGGATTCTAAGTTAGGGGTTGATTCGTGATGTAGTTTGGTGATTTTCATAATGTATGTCCTATCCAGTTCCAACGACTTTTCCTAATTTTCTCTTCATCTGGAAGTTGGTCTGTCCTCACTCACAATGGGTTGTTGTTGATGACATCTGGTCAGTGGACTTTGAGTAACTTGCGTGGACAACTGTTTATAAATACATGTACATTTTTGATTATGCTTGTGGTAGTTCTCCAAGTTTCAACTTCGTACAGCATAACTGACTAGATGTTCGTATTCAAGATTCTGACTTTGATGTTGACTGACAGTAGTTTTGAGTTCCATATGTTCATCTACTGTAGGAATGCTGCCTTGATTTGCCAATCCTCGCCTTGACGTTTGCATCGGATCCTCTTTGTTTATCAATGATGCTGTCGAGGAACCTGAACGTTTCTACATTCTTCAGAGTTTCTCCATCAAATGTGACTAGGTTAGTTTTATCTACGTTGTGTTTGAAGATCTTGCACTTTTCTTTGTGTGTGTTGAGGCCTACTGATGCAGGAGCTTCTGATACACTTGTTTTCTTCACCTTCATTTTTAGGTGTGTATACGATATAAGAGCAAGGTCATCTGAGAAGTCCAAATCATCTAATTGATTCTGAACTCTCTTTTGTATTTCGTGATTCTCCTCAGATATGAAGGTTTTCATAATCCAGTCAACCACAAGTAGATGAAGTAAAGTAAGCAGTCTTGTCTAACACCGGTCCTCACTTGCAATGTATCTGTCAGCTGTCCTCCGTGGACGACTTTGCGCTGTAGTTCGTCGTATGAGTTCCGTATGGTGTTGACGATCTTCTCAGCTACACTATAGTACTGAAGAAAGTTTCATAGATTTTTCCTTTCCATACTGTTAAACTCCTTCTCATAGTCAAGGAAATCGGTGTGTAATGACGAGTTCCACTCAACTGATTGTTCAACGATGATCCATGATGTCTCTATTTGGTCTGTGCACGATTGATCTTTACAGAATCCGGTCTGTTTTTCTTGGAGCTGAGTGTCTACTGAATTTTTCATCCGGTTCAGCAATACTCTGTTGAAGGCTTTTTGTTGTACTGATGTTAGTGTAATGCCTCGGTAGTTCTCAAGTTTACTCAGATTTCCTTTCTTTGGTATCTTGATGAGGCATCCTTTTTTCCAGTACATCGGCACTTATTCCTACTCCCAAATCTTCCTGAGTAGAACGTGGAGCATGTTTACAATTACTTCTATGTTTGATTTCAGTGTTTCAACTGGGATATATTGTCATGTCCCGCTGCTTTCCCACTCTTGATTTGTATGATTATTGAGTTATAATTGAGATTATGAACCAATCAATGTTGAACCATCATTGAACATCTGGATGCCAACTGGATGGTCATTACGTCCTAGTATATCATTGTGAATTGTTTGATTACTGATTAATCTATATTGAAATGAATTAGATAATTATTGGCAACCAAGAAGTATTGAACAGATATTTTGTCCTAGTACTAAAGAAAAGCACTCAATAGTATGTATCTATGATCAAACCAGGGATAAAAGTCAAAGCATTTAGAAATATCGATGAGAGTTCAACCTTTTAAACGATTGAGTTGACATTGAATAGTTTATATTTCTAATTTACATCAGTTCATGATATTGAGTCATCATTATATCATTGTAATGAACAAGAACACAGATGGAGACAATCAATGTATTTCAATACAAAATTACAGAATATCTTTGTAAAATATGAAAACAATACATTGAATACTTCATTTAAAAATCTTTCATCAATTATCTTTCACATAATGTATGATTCTTCCCATTCATAATTCCTTTCTACACTGACTTCTATTCTCTTCAACTTGATTTCCGTAGTCTTCTGATGTCACGGGTTTCCATTTCCGATTGATGTTACATACTACTTATATCTACCAACATAAATAGTATACATCTCATCATTTGTAGGTAACTGATCAATATCGAACGCAAATGAACTGTACTGGTTATGATAATCACTTTCTTGTGAATAGAACTCCTGGAAGAGTTTCCCGTTGAAGTACACTATGACTATGAATATAGAAGAGATTATGAAAATGATTACATTTTTGAAAAATATATGAAATAATTTTAATTTCACAGATTGAAATCATGAGTCAATTAAAGCTAGACCACCATGGAAAATCTGAGTTCGAGTCTCGCGGGGTGCAGGATCGTGGATGCGCACTGCTGAACAGTCCCATGCTAGGACAAAACGGCCGTTCAGTGCTTCCAGGTTTTCCATGGTGATCTAGCTTCAATTGACTCATGATTTCACTCAGTGAAATTTCTAAAATCTCCACAAACCCCTTCTGAAAATAATTTTAATGATTGAATGAACTTGGCGCGGTCTTTTTTTAAAAAAATATAAGTGTTCAATGTGATCAATTCATTTTACTAAAAGTTTACATATACTACTTATTAAAATTTCTTCCTTGATAGAAACAACAGAAATGTGAAAATTATTATAAAAAATTATCGAATGAATCTAATTGTACACTTGGTGATATAAAAAGAAATCGAAAAAGTAAGTAGATTTATTTGTATCTATGTAATATAATGTTGAATAATTTAGATAGAGATGAATGAGACAACTAGGTTCAGGGTTTTCTGTTTGACTACTTCCAACTATCATCTTATCACAAGATAGTGAACACAATATCAAGTCATTTAAACTAGTGGTGTTATTATCTTGTTCATGTTTTCCGAAATCCCCGTTGCCATTTATTATAACTTGTCAGTTGAATGCTGATTGTCTTAGCCCTCAAATGCCCTGGTACGGCCGAGAGTGGGGAGAGTCCGCTCACCCTCTCGAAATGCTATCATATGGCCACGTGTATATAGCCTCTGCCAAAGAAGTTCTACTCACTGCATTCTCGTGGCGGGGGTGTTGTTTACGAAAATGAGAGGACGAAAAGTGAATGTCCGGCACTTTAACCGGATCCCAAACCAATGGTGCACATGGGCTCCAGTATCCTGCTGAAACGAATGGCGTATGAACAAATTTTCGGTCGACGGCTACCATGGGACTGCATCTCCTTACGTTGCTCCACTGCATTGTGGATCAGACATTCAGGTCGAAGGCTCTGTGTGTGGCTCCCTAAGGAAACCATCTGCTTCGGTTTGGGCACCCGGTCTGCAATTCTCACGACATGAAAATAAGAACATAAAACTGGTATAAATAAAGATTTATTAATCCCAAAAACAAGATAACGAAAAATCTGTATGTTGATTACTCAAAATAATGACATTGAATTTCGTCCAATTATAAGCTGATCATGATTCTTTATTTTGAAGATTGAGGGTTCAGAATTTTTTTTTCACCCTGTCTCTAATTGTTATATCTAGATGCTTATATTCTTGATATACCATGTATAAGTTGAGCACTAGAACGCTAGAACCCTTCAAAGTCACAATGAGAAGACAGAAAACTAGTGAAAGGAATGTTATTCCAGACAGTGTCGATGAGAAACCCCAGTCGAAAATATACTCACATATATATATATTGATTGTACACATGCTTTGATTAATAATTAGGATAAAATCACATATATAACAAATCACATACTCAGCATAGTTCATGTCAATGGAATACAAGAATATCGTTTATTATACAGAGGAAAATATTATACTGGGAAAAGAAAACAAATACTACAATGAGTAATCATTACATTGAGTCAAAACGGATATCAATGTTGAATAAAACTCATAATGAGTAAATCAATCGATAATTGACTCTTCTTTCCATCATATCAAGTGACCCACATTGAAACTTGGTCGATAGCATTCGATTTGCACTAAGAAAGACCTGACACATATGTCATTGCTTATCCACTATCTAGTGACTAATCAATTGTGAATACATATCAGTCCTACAGAAGGTCAGTCGCGGCTCGGATAGCCAAGTGATAACGTTTCTGACTATGAAGCTGGGTGACACGAGTTTGAATCCGTCATGGGGCATCAATTCTTTCAAGATTGCAGGTATACCTTGCTGACGAGTGACAAGTAGAACGAAACCTAGGTCCAGGGTTTCCTGTTGACAACTTCCAGTCACCATCTTATCTCAACATAGTGCATGCAATGTCGAGTCACCTAGACTAGGGGCGCACATTCCAACTTGGTCGATAGGATTCGATCTGCACTAAGAAGGACATGATACACATGACATTGCTTACCCACCACCCAGTGATCAATCAGTTGTGAGAATTGAGTTATATTAAAGATGAACACCATATATTGACTGTCTTCAAATTAGCATGAATTGATGTTGGTTGTGAGAGAGTTATTCACTTGAGGGAATGAATGAAGGTTCCCCTATATCGTAAATTCATTGAATTTATTTATGTACGCAATTAGATATCATTTCGGTGGTCTACAGTTTAGGCATTCACAAACGACATTGAATGCTCTGGATTCGGTCCCCTAATGAGGGTATTGTACATACGTACGAAAAAGCTGTTAAATGAGTTTTGATTTTCAATGGTTGTCTAGTTGAAATCGATTCACGATTTTTAAAAATAACAATTCTATAATCAGAAGGGGTTTGTGGAGATTTTAGGAATTTCACTGATTGAAATCATGAGTCAATCGATGCTAGACCACCATGGAAAACCTGAAAGCACTGGACGGCCATTTCGTCCCAGTATGGAACTCCTCAGCAGTGCGCATCCACGATCCCGCACCCTGTGAGGTTCGAACCCAGGACCTATCAGTCTCACACCAGGCGCTTAGCCAACTAGACTACTGGTGAGGAGTCCCATACTAGGACGAAATGGCCGTCCAGTGCTTCCAGGTTTTTCATGGTGGTCTAGCATCGATTGAATCATGATTTCAATCTGTGAAATTCTATAATCACTACAAAATTCATTATATTCTAATAAGTAATACAATGACTTCATGAATATTGGAAGAAAACTTACACTCAAAGATATCTATATGATTTCATTATGTTACACTAGTGTATTATGTTTGTATAACCATTAGCTGTTAAGACATTTGAGTACACAATATCCAATGAAGTGTAAATTTGAATCCAAGTAAAGATGATCAGCATATTTTCAAAATTTTACTCATATAACCCTTTGATTTCTGATTAGTAACTAAGTAATGAAGTAAACAACTTAGTTAACTTTATATTACTATCTATAAAGGTTTAAATAATCTTTATTGTTAATATTAAGAACTGAATTTTGGTTAGTTTTTGATTGAGATCATGAATCGATTCATATTCACATATGAGATCGAAGGTCCTGGGTTTGAATTCCACGTGTAGGATCGTATATGTGCACTTCTGAGGAGTATCATAGTAGAACGAAACGACTATTCATTGTTTCCAGGTTTTTAATCTCCAGAACCCAATACTGATAATTTAAATTAGTTTTCATTAGCAATATGTGCAATCCAGTAAGGAATTGATCAATGTAACCATTTTTATTGCGAGTTGTTTTTTTTTCTCTACAATGGAACTCAAAATTATTATTTCGTTCTATTTGGGACCGGTCAGTTGGATGTATCTGTCTGCATCTTGAAGTTGATATTCACACTGGCACTCGAACCTCATTTCTTACACCTTAAACATCTATTTATTAATGAATTCAGTCTACTTCTTCAATTATTGTAATGAACGAGAACTTAGATGGGAACAATCAATTTCTTATTCATAAAATGTGAAACACCATACATCAAATACATCATTTGCAAACCTTCCATGAACTATCTCAAACTTTATTATTCCTTCATTACTATTACAACTATTCTCTCTTTACATTCCCATTCTCTTCAATTCCGTCTTCTCAACCTTCTAAAGTCAGGCATTTCGCTTCTGAGTGGTGTTACATACTTATTTATTTAAACCCATAAGCCTTGTTACAAGGAGGCACCAAATACGTATGCTTCACATAAATCATTCGATTTGTGTGAGGGCTGAGATACTGCCCGGGTGCGCAAATCAAAACAGGTGGTCTTCTTAAGGGGCCACTCCCCGAGCCTTCGACCTAAAGGTCTGACCCATAAGGTAGTTGCGTAACGTTAGGAGGTGCACTCCCATTGATAGTCGATAACCAACAATTGGTTCATACACCATTTGTTCTTTCAGGATGCTGAAGCCCATGTGCACCACTGGTTTGGAATGACGGTTTTCCAATTACCATAGTTAGATCCTCCATATCCACCAACCCGGTTAAAGCTCAAGACATTCACTTTTCTTCCTCTCAATTTCATAAGCAAGACCCCCGTTTTCTCTAGGCGGGGGTGACATATATCACACTATATATGTTAACAGATTAGTTACCTTAAATCTTTATTATTATTATTATTATTTATATTCCTTGTAGTTCAACAGAATACAAGATCAGATCAAATTAACAAATTTAAAATTCCTAATAAAACTAATGAAAATGATAACGATCAAATTTTCTGTGATGATCCATCTCATGGTGATACAGTTCATAATTGTTACGCAATAAATATCACTAATAATAATTCATGGAATAATGAAACAATAAATCAAATTGATTCAAGCTTGAATCAATCAATTGAAAAAGAACAGTACAATACCACTGAGATGAATACAATGAATCATTCTTATTATTCTGATCCACTTTTTACAACAACAACAACATTATCATCATCATCATCATCTCCATCATCAGTAACCATAACAACAGTGAATCAACATCATTCATCATTACCATTTTGGAATTGTATACAAGATTTAGATAGTTATTTATCAACTAATCATAATTCAAGTAATTATATAACAAATACTATGATCTCTACCATGTATTCATCACCTAATTGGTCATTATCACCATCTGTATTATCAAGTTCCTCTTTGTCATCTTCATCTACTTATTCCACTTGTACTACTTGTGCATTATCATTATCATCATTATCGTTATGTTCTACAAATGTATCTACATCATTAAGTAAACAAATCCTTCCGGATTCTACCGAAGTTATTCAATGTAATCCTTTAACAGAGTCGTATCATCAGATCACATCTACTCCAAATATAAATTGTAATGAATCATATTTTATACAATACAATAATTGTTCATATTTCGACAAATCTAAACATGTATCATCATCATCATCATATAATGAATATCCTCAAAGTGTATTTATCAATTCAATGTACCGTGAACATGAAGAGAGTAATCCAGTACAGTTTAATGATAATGATATAAATGAAGAAATTTATCATTCTACACCACAACAACCAATCTATATAGATGATTATCATTATCATTATTATTATTACTATTATTATTCTAATCCATGTTTATCAATGTCAGATCAAATAGTTTTAAATGATCCTATCACTACTAGTAGTACGATTACTAATAGTAGTATCGGTAGTGTCAATAACGATATTAATACTATTTATTCTACAAAGTCTGTCAATAATTATTCTATGGAAAGTCTCAATTCAAATCATCGACAACATTATCAACAACAAGAACAACAACAGCAACCGACTGTTCAATGGTCAATGAATGATATGAATGATCACCGGACAGAAGAGAGATTGAATGAAAGTATGGAATTTATGAATCAAGATGAATACGATATTGAGAAATCATTCAATTATTATCATTTCATGTTAAATTCAAATATGCATCAACCAATTAATATGAATTTTTCTAATGAATCAGATAAATATGGAATAGTGCAAGGAATTAACGATGTACATGAAAATGTTAATGAAAACAGTTTACATGAAGAAGAAGAAGAAGATGATGATGATGATGACGAAGAAGAAGGAGAGGAACAAGTGGAAGATGCTCACTACAATCATTCACATCCTCGGCCTCCTCCTCCTCCTCCTCATCATCATCATAATCATCAACACCAACAACAAAATGACGAATTCACTTTTAATCAAAATCTATCGGAAGAAACAACCAACTGGTCCAATCCGTATTTACACAATTCTTCATTCTTACCATCATCATCATCGTCATCAAAGGAACAAATCAGTCAGTTTGAACAAGATCTAACGATAGACAATGCTAAACATCATAATTTCGAAGAATGTTTACCTAGGACTAGTAATAGTCCTATTACTATTACTACCACTACTACTACTACTAACAGTAATACTACTTGTAGTAATAATAATAATGATAATGTTAGTACTACTGATAATGGTAATGATTATGATCATAGTTTCCCCTGTGAAATTCATAACTACGATAATTCATTTAATTATTTCATTGTAAATGATGAACCGGTAACTATAGCAACAACTGATCATTTATTGATTAGTCATTCACATTTTTGAACCATTTTAATTATTATTATTATTCTGATCAACTTTATTTGAATCCGGTACATTTTCATAACAACAAGTTGATCTCTCTCTCTTTTCATTTATCGTTTGGTACTTTTTATGTCTTGTACATCTTCAATTACTTCTTTTTTGTTTTGTTTTTTTGTCTTTTTAAAATTTAACCTTGACAATTCAAATTAACCGGTGAAAAAATGTCTGTAATTTGTTTTAATTATTGTTTATAGTCATTTTATTGACATTTTTGATTCATTCCCCAAACCTGTGATCAATTATTTATGATGGTTAAATGATAAATTGAATATGAAATATCTATTTCTTGATAAAGTAAATCAGCGGTGCAAGAATGTTATGAATATGTGGTTCGTAGTAGAAGTTTGTATTCTTTCAGATCTATACTGGGATTCGAATCCAGAATCTTTCATTTTAAACATACTTAATTACTTACTTACGCCTGCTACTCCTAATGGAGCATAGGCCGCCGATCAGCATTCTCCAACCCACTCTGTCCTGGGCCTTCTTTTCTAATTCCATCCAATTCTTGTTCATTTCTCTCATGTCTATCTCCATTTCCTGGCGTAATGTGTTCTTTGGTCTTCCTCTTTTCTTTTGGCCTTCAGGATTCCATGTGAGGGCTTGTCTTGTGACGCAGTTCGGTGCTTTCCTCAATGTGTGTCCTATCCACTTCCAGCGCTTCTTCCTAATGTCTTCCTCTGTTGGGATCTGATTTGTTGTTTTCCACAGTTGGTTGTTGCTAATAATGTCCGGCCAAGGGATCTGAAGTATTTTGCGTAGACAATCGTTTTAAACATACAATGTGTTATTCATTAAGTTATTGGGTTCAATAGGTATGAACTGATTAATAACGATTTGAATTAACCCGTTGTTGATTGTCAAGACAGTATTTTGATCAGCCTTTTTTGTATCGTGTACCAAATGCCTCAGTATAATCATTATAAGTTTTGGTGTATTCGGTATATGATTAATAGTAAAATCTAGGACATGCGTTTCGACGTGACTGAGACTCATCGGTTGAATGTATCTTTACAACTCAGTGTTAGTTTTCACACTGTAACAATGTTGAATGATTGATAATTCCATAAAATGCAGTCATTTATAAATAGAGATGAAGTAATCGATTTCATATTACAATGAACAAAGAAAATGTCAAGTCTCATCAAGTCACGACTTTTAGTTTGAATGAGGCATTAAAGTTGACAAAAAATAGGTTTTTGATTGGGATCATGAACCGATTGATGTTAGATCACCATTGAAAACTTGGAAGCACTAGACGTCTGTTTCGTCCTATTGTGTGACTCCTCAGCAGTGCGAATCCACAATCCCGCAGGCGAGATTCGAATACAGGGGCTTCAGTCTCGCGCGCGAGCGCTTAACCTACTAAACCACTGAGCTGGCCGTTATCCAATGGTGTTAGTGTCTAACATCAACCAATCCATGAAATTGCGTGACCATCTTCCATTGTACTGAGGTAGATACTTGTCTCTACCCGACATGGATTAGCTCCACTGGTCACAGCTTCTCACTAGAACTCCGAGAATTCCCTCACGAAGCTAGTCGCAAGTGAGCACATGATAGTTATCAGTATAGCGGTTGTGGATATTATTAAGTTTTTGATTGAGATCACGAACCGATTGATAGGTCCGAATCCCGAGAGCGGGATCGTGGATGCGCACTGCTGAGTAGTCCCACAATGGGACGAAACCGCCACCAAGTGCTTTCAGGTTTTCAATGGTGGTCTAAAATCAATCGTTTTGTGATCTCAACCAAAAACTGAAAAATCTCCACAGCCCCTATACTGATAACAAATATTAATTGATAATTCCATATTGATGAGGGGAGGGAAATGAATTGACTGTTAATCAATCTTTGAAATAATACTGTAGTTTAGAGAACTCTATCGAAAATAATGAATCAGTAATGATATATTATTAGTATAGTGAGGTTTTCCAGGGTAGTTACAAGACCCTTAGTTTCTAGGTTTGATCTCCGGTGTCGAGGTTGTGTTTTCTTTTTGCTGACGAGTCACACAGTAAGATGAAACAGATGTTCATTGGTTTCTAGTTTTCCAGTATTTTCTAAGATCAGTGAGTGATTTAGAAACTTTGGTTAGTTTCTGACCTGAATAGTTTAATTACAAAATCTTGTACTGTGAAAAGGAGTGACGACGATTTGAATCATTGGTTCCTTCAAAATTACAAGTATATCAGTGAGACAATAAGTTATGGATAACCTTTGAGTAATGCTACATTGACCTTGAGGAAGTCCACTTACTGGATTATAAATTAATGTTAGAAATCAAGGTTAGGATTTACAGCTAGACGTTAGGGTTGAGTTAGATTTAAGGTTTTTATCACGAGCTCATATAAGCTATAATGCCAAAATGCTATTTAGCTAAATGGATGGATGAGTTTCACACCAAATTCAAGAAATGTTATTTTAAATCTGATTGGTTCGTTTATCAATTTTTGTCTCGTTCTTGGATACCTAATCTTATGTATTACCATTAATCTTGTTACTACATCTACTATTCTGGGATTTGTTTTAACAACTTCATCTCGCTGTTTTAATGAGGTGTAGCAACTTGAATCGATGTACATACGTACCAGTTTCTATGTTGTGACTGATGTACTGAGTGATCGAGAGTGAACAATATTTCCTGAAGACTCTCCACATAGTTAATATTGTAAACAAGTCTCAAAATATAAGGCAAACAATCAACTACGCATGGAACTATTATTTTAATCGGAAATAGCAGTCAAAACTTAATCTTGAAGAGATGTTATTTTTAATAAAATCGTCTCAGATTCTTACTATTTATACTAGTTCGCAGTGTTATGTGCCTAACTATAGGTATATTCATAGGATAATAACTATATCAATGTAAAGCTAATCGCAATATGCCAAGTCATGTAGGGTTTTACCAGTATTCAACTACTGTGCTACAAAGGTCAGTTTGCGATATATATTATAACATTCAACAATCTCTATGCCCCCCCTCCCTTGGAAGCTATACTGATAATAGTTGTGTACTCGCTGGTGTCTAATTCTGAGAAATAACTTCTAGTTAACATTAAAACGATTATGGTGCTTTCTCTTTACCGAAAATATATACTCAATATGTATAGGTACACACTCTTTTCCACTAAAATATACAATCATTTAGCATACTCAAAAATACATTATCTCTGATTGTAATCACTTTTGAACAAATTGAATTTAAGAGAATGGGGATTTGCGGAGATTATAGTGATTTTAACAGTTGAATTCATGATTCGATCTAAGCTAGACCAACATTGAAACCCAGGAGGCATTGGACACAAAAGTATTCAAACACAGAACCGTCGGTCTGGCGAGTCATCGCTTAACCTGTAGACCACAGAACCAGCATCTAACGGTGTCAATATCTAACTTCAATCGATACATGATCTTGTATAATCATTCATTCATTGTTTGAATTAGATAACTGTTTCTACTCAAAACGGACTGGACTTCACTAGTCACGGTTTCTGACTAGAACTGCAGTAAATCCATGTTGAATTTAGTCATTAGTGAAAACCTCATGTGTTCAACCATTAAAATTACTACAATCTCCACAAATGTCCATTCTAATAATATTTTGATGGATATTGATCCAGTCTAATTTCTTAATCTTATAGGAGCTTATGTATATGTTTCATTGTATAGAAGGTCAATCGGTGATCGAATAATTAAGTGGTAACATCTCAGACTATGAAACTTAGTGAAATAGTTTCGAATCCCATAGGAACTATCCGTTCCCCGAAAAAAATATAAGTAAACCTTTCTGACTCGTGCTAACTAGTAGGAAACCTAGATCTATAGTTTCCTGTTGACTACTTACAATTATTTAGTAATTATCAGTTCCTTATAATAATTACTTACATTCATTGTACAAAATGAGATTAGAAACAGACAAATATGACATTACGATGATTCATGCCGTCTCGAACTACGATAAAATAACTGTGTACTAGTTAAATTCACTTGGTGCTGTTTTACTTGTAAGTTCCCATTGTTATTTAGGACTGCAATTGATCAGTCTCATGTTGGTAGTTGTGCATCGTGTGTGGATTACCTTGACATAGCCTTAAGTCACAAGCATTTTAAGCAAAGATGGATAGTGGCTAGCAGTGGAATTCAGATGGCTATCAGCACTCAGTATCCATTTGAAGCGGAAGTTACTGGGTTCGAGTCCCGGAGTGAACATCAACTCTTGAATGCAGATACATCCAACTGACGGGTCCCAAATAGGACGAAACGCGAGTCCTGGACTCCACTATATACTACTTAAGTTTTGTAACTAATTTCTTGTTAATTGATTAAACAACATTTATAATAGACAATTTAATGTAATTTGATAATCTATATCAAGGATTGATCTTAGATAGACAATCATGAAACTCCGATAATCAAATACAAAACCTTTAGATCCTTGTAATCAGCGGATAAACTTGAGATCAATGAATTATGATGAAACAGTTTATAGATTTGATTTTTCATTGTTGCCTAGTTCATGAAATAAACGATAACCTTTAGTCATTTCTATAATTCCACCCCCCTTACACATATATACACATACTAATTAAAGGTAGATCAAAGTAATTGAAGATAACATTCTTCTAAATACTTAATGATTTCTATATCATTATTCAATTCAACAAACTAAAATCACATTTCTATCATTAGTGTTCATCATTCATTTTAAACTCTTTCATCAAGTTGTTGATTTTTTTTTAATACTCTGTTTCTCTCTATCTCTCCTTCCCCCTTCTCTCTCTCTCTCTTTTTTTTGTGTGCATTTTTATTATGATTAAAAAGTTGACTACTACCATGGTAACTTAATTTTTATCATTTCAAAATGAGTATACCTCTGTGTGTGTTTTGGAAATCTCTTTGAAATATATTTTCTACACTAAAAAGTGTAGTGGATTTTTATTGTTTTTAAGTCATATTAATAAGGTCAGTTTACGGTAGAGAGATAGATAGATAGATAGAAATAATACCGTTTATATTG